TTCTCCACATTTAGAAACCATGCCTTCAGAGTATTCGGCTGCAATAATTTTCCACATGATAGGCCACGCTGTTGAGCTTACTTGTGTGGCCAGGTCGCTTATGAAAAAGAACTACAGTATGTAGCTCAGTGGGCCTTACCTGGTAAAATAAAAACATATTTTAGTTTTCGATAGGGGGACAGCAACGATGTTTATCAGACATCACTCGCCACTGATGTTCTGGTGTTAGGTGTGGTTTGAGAATTAAACTTGGGTTCGTTACTTGGTAGGTTCAAAGAACATTGCGCTCACCATTGCGCCACCACTCCACCCCCGCAACGTATCGCTCAGTTTAAACCAGATTATACCTTCGCATGTTAAAACTCCACCGGATAGCCACATCACTTTTTTTCCCGTGTTGATTGCATTTGGTTGAACCGTAGAGTCGGTATCAAACAGTGGCGTGACATGTCCTCTAGGTGGGGCTGTTGTGAGTGACCTCTGAAAAGATGGTGTTGTAATTAAGAAAATCCTCGTACTGGTAGGAACCTCCTGGGTACACCAGCCCACAGGGGATTATTGTGTCCGTCCGTCATGCATCCAAAAATGGGAGGGGTGGGGCTGGGTGGAGAGGGGAGGGGCTGGGTGGGGAGGGAGGGGCTGGGTGGGGGGTGGGAGGGGTGGGGCTGGGTGGGGAGGGGCTGCTCACCCCGTGGTGCCCTTATAAAACTCAACGTTTAACCTACTCACGCCGGCTTGTGCCCGCCCTCACAGCCGGGCATATTTGCGGAATACACCACGTGGTGCCGCCGTTGACCCTGGCAATCAACCCAACGTTCCTACCAGCTCCCTCTGCAGGAATGTGTTCATGTTATTGGCCTTCCCGTGAAAGTGATGTAACTGTCTTATCTAACCGACTGTTGGCACGCGAATGCTGTCCCCATGACCCTCAAGTCCACACTGCACAACCCGTTCGACACTGCCGAAAAGCCGTGAGCTGGTATATTTGCACGGTGCAACGTAGCGTCGTCACATCGTCTCTCATTACAGCCACGGGCGCCCTTTTTCACCGCCCTGAAAGGGGTCTCAAACGGCGTGGATAAAAAATGCTAGAAGCTCATCGCAACGATCGAAGGGAAAACCTCTCACTCGGACGCCTTCACAGCCACCCCCGAGAAAACCTCCACCCGAGAAGGCACAAATCAGGCAAGGGCGTTGCGGCGGTTTCGAATACGAACAACGTAAAATGTTATCTTCATTAGGCAATTCACGTCGAATGAATCATTATGTAAGTATTAAAAAAAATATTGAAACACAACAAAACTATTTCTAGGAAAGTAGTTTCCCCCCCCCCCCCCTTCGGGGCCGTCCATAAATGACGTCACGCGATTTTGGACGATTTTTGACCCCCCACCCCTTCGTCACACGGCGTCACAAAAAGTCAGACCCCCCCCCCTCTCAAATATGACGTCACAAAGCTCTGCCCCCACCCCCCGCCCCCCCCCCAAAAAATGCTTCAAATCTCTTTGAACTATTGTCATTGTAGTGCCTCATTTAATGTGCCGCTGCACTCTGACGTTGTAGCGGAAAATAATAATTAAAACGGCTATTTAATTAAGTAGAACGTGTTGTCTATATTTATTTAAAGTTGCGCATTTTGATGTGACGTCACACTTCTTAAACCCCCCCCCTTCCTCGTCACACATCGTCACAAATGTCTGACCCCCCCCACCCCACCCCCTAGGTGCGTGACGTCATTTATGGACGGCCCCTTAGAAAAACAATTTCTCATCTGCAGCTGCTTGATGGGGCGGTGCCCCAACGCCCCTAGTGGACGAACCGGCGCCTCGTCCCAACATTTGTGTCATTCTTCATTTGAAGCTTTCGTGACTGCAGGAATCCATAATCTCTGGTTCTTTCGGTAAAGTCATCACGTAGGTAGAAGAAGCACACAATGAAGTAAAAGAAAACACGTTTCGGACGCTTGTGGTGCGACCGAAACGTCGTGTTTTATTTTCTTATTTTTTTTTCCTATCTCCATGACTTTACCGAAATAACCAGAGAGTATTTGTGTCATTCCAGGCAAATGTGCCTCTTGGCTGCCGACGTCCGACATTGAACCTCAGGGCGGTACCCCGGGGTGTCCAAGGTACCCCGGCTCTCGCACAATGTCCGCGATGCAGTCACTCGTAGTCTGTTGACGGTCGGCGATGCGGCAATCGACTCATCTCGACGAGCTGTACTCACGAGGATGCACCACTACAGGGTTTTGGAGAAATCGTCCTCGCTGCGTTTCCACATCGCGGAGTGTGCCACCGATTTCGGATTGATTGGTTACCCCCAGTCGCGGAGTGAAGTTACAGCCCTGGGGCAAAAATAGTGTCCCAGAAATAAAATACTTAATTGCCTCGGCCATTCTGTATTATTTGGAACCTCGTGGGTACCGCAATGAGGATCATTTTGGCAGTGGTTATCAATCACCACACGATCGAGCTCATCGTTCTGGCGACGTGTACAGGGCTACAGGCGACGACAGATTGACGCCGCGAAGTTCAGAAAGGCCAGTCGGCATCTGATCGCAGGGTTCCTTCCCCCCACCCACCCCGGACGATTGAATGTCTTCGTAGCCGCGCTGAATAACGGTAAGTCGTTCTCGACCTTGCGATCCAGAGGTCAACGGTTTAGTTCGATCTCCCCGTGCGGGGCATGTATTGTATGTTGAACTTCTTTCGCACCGCGCGTGGTCAACCGTGCTAATCGGAGGCGTGGGGGATGCGTCCTCAATCCCCCACCCGGTTGCAGTGCTGGATTAATTATCCCAGTAGCAAAGTAGCTACTACATATATGTAGTAGCTACTACATATATGAAGCTACAACCCCGCACTTTCAAGGGCCCCACGCGCTAAATGCTTTCAAGCTGTCAATTCCGGTTCGGTGATTCCGCACTTGCTCTATTACTGTAGTACTATACCGCCTTCAACTTTTATGAACGACTGGGTGTTTAAGGTTAACGATTTGTCGTATTATTTGGCTGTATAGCAAATGAAAAAATACAATTACTTTACTACACAAGTTAACAATGTGTTATTATTTTGTTTCCCTTTAACGTGACTTTACCGAAAGAACCAAGAATATGAATCACTGCAGTCACGAAAGCTTTAAATCAAAATTTAATGTGTGTTAAATATTTATGTGTGTTTTTTAGGGCCTCTTTATAACAAATGCTACAGGCCCCGCACTAGCTTAATCTGGCCCCTGCCCAGTAGTATGAATGCATTGATACATCGCAGTGAGGCAACAGGAAGTGCGCTTGTGGTGGGGTAAAGTGTGGGTACGGTCTGTCCAGTGTGGATATATTGTCTAAAAGGCGCGCTCTGGAACTCCATCCCTGATGGAGGCCCCTTCCACCAGCAGTGGCGTGAGCGTGCAATTGCAGGGACTGCGCCTTTACATTTTCCAATAATAATAATCATCATCATGATGATGATGACAACGATAATTCAGCGGTCTTGCTTTTAATACGCATTGATCGGAGTTGTAAAAATGCGACGAAAAGCACTGCGAAGACGATAAATAAGGAGAGAAAATCAACACCAGATGCGGGTAGGCGGGCGGGGTGAGAGAGGCAGCGAGAGACGCGCTTCGAGGCGGCCGTTCAGCCAGAGGGCTCGGCGGCATGCGGTTGAACACGAATGGGGTGAGCACAAAAAAAAACCGGGCGCGAGACGCAACGCTGAACAAAGGCCGGAGTTGAGTGCCACCGTCTGCGTTTTTCAGTCCTCGATTTCATTGTGTCCGCACGTGCATGCGCATGCTTCTGAAAAGAGCGCGTCGCCCCGTGTTTTTAACGTTACCGGGCAACAAAACAACGCTAGACTTGTACAGTAGTCGAAAGAATCCCCCGTGGGATCATTTTAAAAAACAAAAGTGTGCGAACGAAGCCAGCGGGCCTGAATGTCAAAACCGGTCGTGGGTTAACGGCAGGAGTGAGGGATATTGGAGCGGGCGCTCATCATCATCATTGCATCGCAAACGCGGAGAACCAAGCACACGCGCCAACGTTGGCCCAACGTTCAATGTTCACTGGGATTAAGAACCACTGTGGCCAGGCAATTCCGGAATTTCACACCATATCGGTGCTGTGCACCCCACCCCGAGCAGCGTGGCGAAGTATGGTCAAAGAACCCCCTGTGGCCGACACAGCGAGAGAGGGGGAGGGGGGGGCTTTAACTAGTCGCAGTGGATTGAGACACAAGACGTGATCATCGTGGCCAAAGCCATCGGTGCAAACCTCCGGCTCGCCAACGCGTTGCACCCTCTGCGCTAGATGCCGTAGATGCTGCCGATTGGACGAGCGACCTCCGAGATTTGCCTCCACAGTGTCCCACCACCACCACCTGGGGTTAGCTCGACTTCCCCCCGTTGGTCAATGGACTCGTGAAGACCATTCCAATGTCTGTTTCGGAAAATGGGCATTCTCCCATTCTGCCAACATTTCACCCGGCTAAACTTTTTTTTAGCCTTATGATACCTGCGACACTTCCCTGCCTGCCGTGGTCTCTAACAAACTTGTGCTGCGCACGCATCTTAGCTTGCCACACAATTTCCAGTAATTCGTTTCAAAACAGCCGTGCTGAAATGCCAATTTTTGTTTTTCAAACTGCACAGAGTCTAGCTGTCTGATTCATACAGCAATAGATACACTCTCGCCTCAAATATTGTTTACACTCAGACTAATCCCTGCTCGCTTCCACAGTGGCTTCCATAAACCGTCAAAAACCTGGCTCCTTGCTGGACGCCTTCCCTCGATCTACGAGCAGCTGAGTTTTGAGCGACGTCCGAATAAATACATCTTTGGACACAGACGACGTCTTGAAAGATGCGAAAATAAATGTTGGCTTCATGTAAATTTCAACGTACGGATTCAGTCACATTATTATTCTGATTGCGCGACAGCACAGGGTAATGTACTTAGTTCACTGTTGATGTGGCGAGAGGTTTGAAGGCAGAAATAATACATCTCAGGCACGCAGGCAAACGTTTATTACCACGTGCATACAATTTGGTTTTCAGACGGCATCAGCATACAATTGCATCTCTTAGCTTGGCATACACATGATCGGGGGTTAGAGAATATGTAATAAAAAAACAACGTATAGATTAAAGCATATATGTACACATAAGTAACGTATATACAAACAGGACTTTAATATATAGTAACGTTTATATAAATAAATGAGTGTCAAAAATGAGCTAACAGAGACCCCAGAAAATCAGTCTACACACAGTAAAAATAGGCCTTCGATTCGTTACAATAATACAAATCATAATAATTTACCCGGAAAAGCCTCAAGACCCTTATTTCAGGAGTGTCCTACTTGGTATGTTTGGGCCAATTCCACTCGTGAGCGATTGGCTTTCACATGGGACGACACCGGAGGAGTACCCGGAGGAAAACCCACCACGCCTACGAGTGCCGAGATTCAGAGAAGGTATTTTTTTTAAACAAAATCCACCCGCAGACGAAATGCATTCGGCCTCCACGCGTGCCGAGCGCCCATTGCTGGACTGCCATCTCACCGGCAAACCGTGCAGCCCGCTGCCTCGGTGATTGCCTACAGCGACGCCTGGCGTGTGTCCTGGTCTGTACCAGCGGTTACCCCATTCGAGTGGTAAAAGCAGGGTCAAACCCTAAAAAGGCTTCAAGATGATTTGATCATCGGCAGATAAAAAATATATGTGTCGAGAGAAGGGGGGTCCCACTGCGTCCGTGATGCAAGGGGCACCCGCGCACAGATTGTACCGCTTGGAAATAACGGTTGTAGACGAAGAATGAGTTTGGCGAGTTATAAACGTTTCAGATTTATAAGGGAAATTGTAAAAAAAAAAAAAAAAAATCACATTTACAAATTATTTCCATCGTGTAACTAATTTAAAATGTCTTCGCGTCGCCGACGACGATGTCACCCAATGCAACGTGGCGCCACGTTTTATTTGTTTTGGCTCATCCAAAATTCCGTATCCTGGCCAAATTGGCGGATTTGTCATCCGATGAGCCCTGTCCCGCAACCGTTCCAAGTGCTCGCCATGGCATGACCCCCCAGCTGTGGGTAAAAACAAACCGCCAGATGTCTGTGGAGCGGGGGCAGTGCTACACGAGGTCGTCGGCGGCCAGTGAGCGCCCCTCCGAGTAGCCCTGCTGGCAGGAGAGCGGCGACTGCTGACTCGTCAAGGCCATCTTGAAGCACGACTCTGCACACGCACCACCGCAATAGCGTCACGTACCACCGCAATAGCACCATGCACCACCGCAATAGCGCCACGCACACGCTGCAATAGCATCACGTGCCATATGTAGAACTTCTTTTGTACCATACGTAGACAACTGTGCTAATGGGACGTGCGGGGGCAGGACAATAAACTGAACACAACAAGCAGTTATAGAGAAATTGGTTTTCAATCAACATTATTTAAGAGTGCATAGCTCCAGCGGCTTCCGAATATCGTAGAAGCGCATCTGAAAGCGCGCGATTCTCGCGACGGTTTATGCTCCTAATTGCGGTGGTGCAATGGGACCATTATTCTCACTCCGTACTGTGTCCCGTGCTGAGCAAACTTTAGTTGCGTGTTGTCAACAACAACAACGCGAGTTGTAATACGACCGCGTAGGTATGTCGCGGTTGTACCGTATAGCCCTCCGGATTTGTGTCCATAGGTCGCGTCGTTCGATGTTCGTCGTGATTGTCGTTTCGCTCCACGTGCTCGCCACTTTTGCTCTGTTATCATTTAGGAAGCCACTGGGGCCACACATGACTCTAATTCTAGATGTAAAAACAAATTCCTTCAGGGCTGCCTCTCGTGTTTGGTTTGTCGTCTTTCCCGCCAGCAACCTCTGATTGGCACGGTTGGCTATGCACGGTTGCGAAAGAAGTTCAACGTGCATGCCTTCGCACGTCATTCCGCCTCCTGAAAAAGCTTCCAGCCACACGGAGCGAAACGTTGGGACGATCGCGCTGAGGCAACACGCGCTGCAAACCCGAAACCACATCCGGGAGCTCACGTCGTCCTGTTCACGTTTGCCGTTCCAGCGTCACGGCCGTTGCACACCGAATCGTACCAGCGTCGACCGTGACGTGCCCCCCCCCCACCCCCCCCCCCCCACCCCCCACCTCATTTTGGGTTTGGCAAAGCGAGTTGTCAACTGATGCGTGCATCCCTATCGTCAAAACAGGTTCTGGCGGAACATTACACGCGCTAAACGGAATGCAGGTTCGCGTGCAGTCTGATCTTGGCAAGGCGGCACCGGATGCAACGCTGTGGGAAGATGGAACAAATTCTTCCAGACGCAGCGCCCACCCCCCCCCACACCCCCCCCCCCTCCGCGGGTAACTGCAAAGAACCTTTTATTTTCTTAGCGAGGTAGATGCCGCAGAATGCGCCGAAGCTATGTTTGAGTGAAAGCGATGGACGGATCGTTTCACCCCCTTCCGCACCCTCTCCGGGACGGCTGCACGAGTTGTCACGATGTCGAGTCACGCACAATGGAGGCGAAACGGAGAAATGTGTGTTTGCTCGTTTGCGTGTTTTTTTGTGGAACTTTCATCACGAGTGTGCTTTGCGGTGCGACGTCACGGGACGAGAATCATCCATTCCAATCTCTCGCGCGGCAATGTGAGCAAAAACAACACTTAATAATTCATAATAAAGGTTTTTGGGTTAGATCGCGTTATTTATAAATGTGTCGTAGCCCTCCACCACCCGGACACGGCCAATCAGCAAAATAAAGTGTCACGTTGTCAAAAGACAAAATAGTTCACTACTTTAGCCCACCGGTGTGTTGAAGAGTGAATCCACAACATTTACAGTTTTTGAGTACGACGTTTCGCTGGTAATTACATCCAGCATCATCGGGCAATTCGCCAGAATGCTGTAGCCCTCACTTGCTCCCGGTCTTCAATGGAGCAGCAGGGTGACGCCATCATTTAACTCATTCAGATGCAACTCGACGCGCTGAGGGCCTCTCTGCGCCAATGTGGGCACATTGGCGCGGAGAGGCCCGGAGGGAGACGGAGCGACGGGGGGCTTCGTGACGTGCGCAGCAGTCCGCCGTCGTCGAACAAACGGCCCAACGGAATCGCCAACACCAGGGGTGGACCCATCCGTGGACAGGAGTCGATTCCGAAACGCACCGATCCGCACGTGCGCCAGCGCAGGTTCGTAGCAATCGGCGCACGCGAGTGACGCCTGCAGCATAGGCGGAGTTTGACTTCTATACTTGGGTGGAGAGTGGGGGAGGGGGGTTCGCTTTGTCCCCTCACAGTAGGAATCCCCGGGTGCATATAATTAATTATGTTATTATCTTAATTGTAAACAACTGAAAATTACTAATATAATGAGCCAGGAATGTGTGTGTGTGTGTGTGTGTCCCGCGCGTGACGTCACTCCACATGAGGCCAACCCCCCCCCCCCCCCCCCCAATTGATATATTCAAGAGTGGGTGCATTATTACACTAACGCAGAGGAAGGTCGAGCTGAATTAAATAATTTATTACGCAAAGTCGCTTCAAATGTGACGACGTTTCTTTACAGAAAGTGACGGCAAAAAATAAAATATACGCAGCACAGTGCTACATCCGTACGTGACGTCACTGCAAAAGAGCTCCCCCCCCCTCTTCATTAATATGCCGCAACCCCCTCCCCCCCTCATTAATAATCATGAGCTGAACAATTTTTCTATTGAATATTTCAGATTTACTGCAATATACACCCGTCCTTGGATGGCCAAAAGGCTAGTAAATTAATAAAGGTGCCCAGGTTTGGGAGGGGTCTTAACCCCAACCCCGTCTCCCCCCTCTCGGCAAACTCTGCCCATGCCATGAAACCACTACAGCTTGTTACTTCTCGCAGCAATGTTACAAAAACAAAACTACAAGCAACAACAAACATTATGAGACCTCCTTTGCCAGAAACAAGATATAGGAATAGGTTTTACCCTTTTAACTGGCACAAAAAAACTGACACCTTTATTCAAGGCATCATGTTTGCAATGACCACAACACAAGCAGTCAAAATGCAAACAAAAAAGACAACTCTGATAATAATATTGGCACTGTCCTTGAATTTGATTGGTCCACACCCGAGACAGCTTTTCTTAGAGCCTAGTCTCCATTGGTGTTGGACCAGAAGACGCCGAGTTGTCTTTTTTGTTTGCATTTTGACTGCTTGTGTTGTGGTCATTGCAAACATGATGCCTTGAATAAAGGTGTCAGTTTTTTTGTGCCAGTTAAAAGGGGCAAAACCCATTACTATACAACAAACATTATACTCCTTCGGGTTGCGCGTGTGTCATCTACCCGCAAAGTGGTGGCGTAGGTCTCTGTGCAGGCAGGCCTCCAGGAATCGGCGCAGTGGCAGCAAATGAGTGTTGGGAGCGCTCCAGTCGGTGAGGAAGTCCTCGACCATGTGGTGGATGGCGTCCGGCCGAGGGAGCGGCCACTTCTTGGGCCTCCTCCTCATTTCCGACTCTGCCGGGGGGAATTGTCGACAGTGCGGTGTCGAGGGCAGGCGGGAGAGTAATCCCGCAGGAGGAGAGTCTCGGGCATCCGTGGGAGGACTTGCGCCGGGCTTGCGGATTAAAAGCGTGGCATTTTATAGGAAAAGATATAAAAGTGAAGAAAAAAATAGCGTTCACGTGCACGCTGTCTTGTTAACTCTTAGCTACTCCTCACTTGTCGAGGAGTCCGTAACTTCGTGCCCACATAGACCGCAAATGGGTTGGCAAGTAGAACGATCACTTGAAGAGATTATAAAACACTCGACACATTCCACATTTTCACAGTCATTGTCTGCTTTTGAGGTGTGTTTTTTATTTATCCGGGCCACGCCTCTACCAAGTAACTTGATACCCCATTCTACGCTTTTTGCAGAGGGTCGCGATTCGAGTCTGGCAGGCCGCCCTGGTTAATATTTCACGTGTATTAACTTGAAAATACAACGTGCTGTTCACTTTGCAGTGGACGTTAAATATCCCATGACACCATTCAAAAAGAGTAGGTCATTATTAGCTGGTGTCCTAGGTCCAAATTTTAGCTAAATTTGTCAAATTGCTTTAAAATTATTCAATGGGGATTACACACAGCAAGACCGCCCCCTGATAAAAAAAAACTACTGCAGGAATATGTGAATAAAACAACGCCTTCATAATTGTCTTGCACCTTCATGATATACTAAACTAAAAATTTAAATTTTTTTTATATTATAGCAGCTAAGGCCCACTGAGCTATATAGCACTTTTTCAGAAGCAACCTGGCCACAAATGGATGGCTTGTCACTTGGAAATGTATAGCAGGTGAATGCTTTAAACACACGTTTCTAAATGTGGAAGGTAAAACCGGAGGACCCGGAGAAAAATCCACATGACTGCGGGGAGAACATGGAAACTCTAAATATACAACAGGCATCAGGGTCAGGATCGAATCCACAACCTCCTGTATACCAGGTGAAGAAGTTAACACCTCACCACCGTGGTGCCCTTGCGCTGCAAGAATAGCATGAATACCAGAACTACCAGCGAAGTATCGTACCCGATCGTTAAATGTGTGGATTGCTCTCCGACGTACCGGTGCGCTGAAGCCACACTAAGCTGGCATGTTTATTCACGTGGCGACTCTATTTATTTGATTTGCTGTGTCGGTTGGAGGAGGCTGTACGGCACACATTTCACTCACGCAGCAACCAATTACGAACCGCACACACTGGACTGTGATTGTTATTGTAACTGAGGGTTTACTGTACCAACTGGGGGGTGGAAACCGAACTTGGATCACAACTAGACATCGAGCACGAGCTCTTGGGGTGGAATTGGGGGGGGGAGGTGGCGTGGTAGGACATAATGGGGAGATGATTGTTGAATCTCTCTCTCTCTACTCACCACCACTCTCCTACCACTCCCCTCTCATCTCACTCTACTCCCCTACGCGCATTCTGCTTTCAATGGGAAAGTCTGTTCCCCCAATGAGTCTGGCTTCGGGAGGTTTTCCCGTTTACTAGGCCCTACGCTCTACAAGAGATGCACTTAGAGCCACTGAGCCCCTACCTGGGCCACTCAGCGTGGGTGGGGGGGGAGGGGGGGATGCAAAAGTAGCCATTTTCCTCCGGTCCTCACACATACGATGGGGACCCACAACAATGGGCCCTCCCGGGCCTCCAGGAGCCTCCGAGGCGGCCGTGGCTCCTACCGGTGGGCAGCCGCTCGTAGTAGTAGATGACGGGGTGGAGGAAGTTGGAGCGCCAGGCGTCGAGGGGCGCCCCGACGGCGCGGTTCGTGCGGAACACGTCCTCCCCGGGGCCCGAGAAGTTCTTGCCGTACTCCATGTTGACGACCAGCAGGCCGCCCTCCGCCGACTTGCCCGTGTTCGCGGTCAGCGCCGGCAGGGCCGCGATGGGGTACTCCTCCAGATACTCAAACTCGGCGCCATCCCTGGACAAGGACAGCGAAGGGGACGCCAACCCCCTCGTTCGACAAACGCTGCTGTGCTGCGGCATCGCGGGGGGGGGGGGGGGGGGTGAGGCTGTCTGCTCGGTTGTGATACCACGGGGAGCTCTCAGGTGTGCGCTTTTGGGGGCGTGCCGAATGGCACGCGGCCCAACGGTTACGGTGAGCTTCTCCGGGGAATGAACGGGAACGAAATGGAGCTCCCAAACGCGCGTGGAGAGAAACATCAGACCTCATGCAGAGCAACACCGACAAAACTGATATCGAAGTCTCAGAGCTGGACGTAATTTGAAGTGTACAACCAAGTCATTGGTGACCAGGCTAGGGACGATCAACCTGCTACACTCGACAACCTAGTTAAATCACAGGGCGTGACCGCCTGGATTCAAGCTCAGAATTCTCAGCAGTCTGACCCCTGAACTAGCAGATCCAACCTCGCTCACGGCGACTGAAAAATAGATTTGCAATTAAGGGCATATGCCGATGCAGACGCTTCAGCTTCGGTGGGACTGTGGCCACCCTCAGTCTACAACGAGAGTGAAGGACGCTGGATCCTCTCACCGTTTGAGCAGGGCGATGTCCCCCAGCACGCCGAACATCTGGTAGGGCCCCGATGCCTCGTTAATCCGCCGCGCGACCGTGGCGAGCAGCAGCGAGGACGGCAGAGTCTGCGACGGCCAGGGCAACCCGTGGTACCGCCACTCCATCGAGCGGAACACGGCTCTGGCTGAGCTCGCCAACAGCGTTCACACGAACGAGTCAACGCACGCGCCTTCCGCGGACGCCTGCGATTGCAAGTGTGGTTGTCTGGGCCTTGGGTCTGCGACGTCGAAGCGTTAACAGACTCGGGCTTTCGCCACGCACTACTACTGCGTCTTATGACGACGGCCAGAGAGCTTGAGAGAAGAATTGCTCAATGCGTGTCGATCGACGAGGAAAGCCCCGTCGCTCCGGTTTCCTCCTGCATCGAACACTCATTACTTGGCTATAAACGTCTTGATACACAGAGGACCAGAGAGCTTGGGCAATTGTTGGCGCCGGCTCCCGGGCCTGGCTGCCTTCCCGCTTGTCTGTGGTTCCTCGCGCCTCCGTATCGTTCCCCCTCTCTTTGCGAGAATGAGTGAATGCCGCGCGGCGTGTTTACAAGTTGAAATTATTATATTATTGTTTTTTTTTATATTTTTTTAATTCGATTTTTGTTGGACACGAGAACAAAGGGCCGCTGCAGAATGTTGGCCGACAAAAGAAAACCAACCGCACGCGAATATCCACCAGGCCCCATGTACCCGACACATCCTGGTTGATGAGGCGGGGGGGGGGGGGGAGACGGATAACCTGAGGAGGGGGGAGAGGGGGGGGTGTATGAGAAAGTAAAAGGGAAAAAGAAGGGGGGTGGAAAGTCCCCGGCTTGTATGGTGGAGGAAGTGAGGGGGGAAGGGAAGTGGAGGGTAAGCCGGGGTGGGGGGGGGGGGGTCGCCCCGAAATCAACAAAACACAAGCGCGGCTGGTGCTCGACAACGCTTCCCCGCCAATAGGCCGAGTATTCTAATGTTATTGTTGAATAACTGAACTTCGGATAGCAGGGTTCACGGGGGCATTGCGCTTTCCACAGAGCACACCATCGTTGCGGTAAAAATGATCGCCCGTTCGAATTACCACCGTGGCCTCGGTGTCCACCCACCTGTGTAGCGGAAGCCGTGGATGAAGCCGCCGGCTGACTTTCTGTGGTCTACCGAGTGGCTGATCGTGCCAATGAAGAACATCCCTCTCGTGGTGGGCGATTCGTAGTCTGCCTTTATCTTTGGGTATTTTTTCTTCTGACCTGATCCAGCTTTGGTCTTTGTCGAGCTAAATGAAAGACATTTTGAGAAAGGTTGAAACAACAAAAAACTGGCAAGTGACATATTTCGAAAACGTAATCTGCTCAGCCGTGGATTCACTGCAATGCAATACGCGTTGATGGGAGAATGTGCGCACACACTTCTAGCTTAGGGGAAATACAAATATTAAAACGCAACTTTAATTTATTTGGCAGTAAGGGGAAATCCTTCGCAGCACAGCAGAGTGGAAGTTCTTTGAGACTGCTTCTCAAAAGAACATTTTGGCAAGACATTTTTGTGTGTTTTGAAAACCTCACGGGTAACCAAAAAAAGACTAATTATCTTGCAATCTTGCATTGGCATAAGCGGCAAAAATAACACTGAAATTTTACTTCGCTAATCATCTTAATACTGAGTTTTAAATTACTTTCGAATCAATTTTCCTCATCGAGAACTCCAACCACGCTATACGATGATGAGAATTCCCAAATGCACACGCTGCACAAACCAATTATAGGTCTGTCCATTTCTCAAAATTGCAAACACTAAAATTTATTCGGTTGCCGATAACCTTTTTGTGATAAGCACCACCTCTACCGGCGCACTGGACGTGCAATGTCAACTTCTACGACACACAGATAATTAGCTTTTGTCAGAAAATCCATACAAGAGACGACATCAAAACTTACCAGAGATGAAATGCACCTGGTATTACCTTGAGAAATGTAATTGCACCGCTTGCTTCACGGAAAACTACGTACCGTATTCACCGCATTCAACACATTATAAGAAGCTCCGAAAAGTTAAGACACAGACGCCCGGTTGTCAATAAAGTTATACAAAATCTGGTCACGCACTGAAACAAAAAGCAAGTTGTGAGATGCATCACCCCCAACTTGGGCATGTACAGCACACACAGAGAGAAAATTGCACCTCATGGGGTCCAGAGAACACGGTGCCCATTCTTGTTTATGAAAACAACGGGCAAAAAACGTGAGCCAACACTTTGGCATACCTGTGAAAGATCGAGAAGTCAAATTCAAAGCCCAGGCAGCGGACGATGCGGTCGTACGGCTCGCGGAGGGAGAAGTTGTCCTTGTTCTTGCTGGGGTCAATGATTTTCGAGTTGCCGCCATTCGTCAGCGTCTTCCTCCCGTCCGTGTCGTGCAACAGAATGCGCAGTTTCCCCTGTCGATTGCGCACCACCGCCATGGCCTCCATGGGCGCCTCCAGCAAACCGTCGAGGGACTTGAGTTGGTACGTGTCCAGCAGGCCATTGTTGATGGCTCTGCGGAGGCCAAAGTCATTTTTAAAGTGCGTTCTTTTTTTTGTGTTTGCCAAAAAAATAACGTTGAGCTGTGGCGCAAAGGTCAGCGCACTGCGCTATAAACCCGCCGATCCAAGTTCGACTCCTGGCCACGGTTGGTTATTGGTGGTGGGTGAAATGTTGACCCAGCTCGGCCTCGCACCGATCCAAATTAGCAATGAGGTGGAGCTCATCTCTGGTTTATAGCTCTGAGCCATTGGTGTAAATTGCACAGTCCTGTGGCAGGGGCAAATCTCTCCCAAGGAGAATCATTGCTGACTTCCTCACAAAGTGGTACAAATTTTATCGGCCGACGAGGGGCGATTAAATAGCCGGGTCAACCTCTACCAGGATTTGATGTCGCAAAAACTCTCTCCAAAGGGCAACCATTGTTGATTTCCTCATATTACTGATTTTATTGACCGACGAGGGATGATAGGCTGGGTCAACCTCTACCAAGATTTTAACCTCGCAACCTTCTGAATGCGAGCGACTCAACCGCACACTCCCAGCGTTTGGAGGCACCACCAAGCGAAATCACGAGCAGAAATTCACACTTGGCATCCACTGCTCCCTGAAGAATAGAGGCAAGTAAAATCAACGAGGGCATAAATGGGCCATCACGCGGGCTGTGAATAACCTCCCAGCGCGAAGGAGGCACGTGGGGCTCGCGTTTAACACCGGTGATTGGAAACATTTTGCGCCGCAATGATCGAGGTTTGTTGGCAATGAGGCACCCTGGACGCGCCCTCATTGACAGATGTGCAAAACACGGTTGGCTGTCGCGATTGGTTATCCAGGGTAATGGGGGAAGCGGAATGACTGGGGTAAAATAAAAGACACGGAAAATATTCATCTTCTTTAGTTGTTTCGGTAAAGTCACGTAGAATGAGAATAAAATCATAAATTGATAAAATAAAATAACACAATAAAATTCTCACGACGTTTCGGCCACAACACAAGCGGCCTTCACCAGTTATTGTGTTATTTTATTTTATCAATTTATTATTTTATTCTCATTCTACGTGACTTTACCGAAAGAACCAAAGAAGATGAATCATTGCAGTCACGAAAGCTTTAAATCGAAACGGAAAATATTATTATTATTATTACATCTGCTTACCCATTAAAGCGTCACTGACACTGGAGACATTTGCAGGGGGGTCCTGCAAAGTTTTCGCTGCAGCAGGGGTGGGTGTGACAATCGCGATGCGTTTCACGATAAGCAATATGCGAGTCATTTTTCAATTTGGGTAAATTTTGGAGAATTATGCCAGCACACAGTGGGCCTTAGTCTTCTATGCAAATATGCCACGGCATTGTTTTTTCTTTATTGGATTTTTTTTTTTATTCAAGAGGCCGATACAGAACACGAAGGTCGGAGAGGGAAGCGCATAAATCACTCGCGAGCGATAAACCCGGGGCCAGGTGCCCTCTCAGATCCGGGACCGGGCAAAGTGGTCTGGGGGATCACTTAAGGGAGGGGGAGATGAGTGGAGAAGGGAGCGGGGGAAGTGCAAAGGGGGGGGGGGGGCAGAGAGAATATAAACAAACACACGGCCACGGCATGTTGAACGTCGACTGCGACGCAGACGACGGGTACTTTACGGTTATTTGTCTTATTTTGGATTTATGGAGCGCCGTGCCTCAAGGCGCTTTTTACATCGTTTAAAAAAGGCCGGATTTAGATGGCAGGGGCAGTGCAAGGGCCGAGGAATGAGCGAGCCCACCAGAGGGCACGTGGTGGGTGGAGTGGGGTGGGGGGGGGGTGTCACAAAAGGGCTATAGGGGAGGGAAGAGGGCAATGAAGAAGAGGTGAGGTCACGTGATAGAGGGACGGAATGAGGTTAAAGGTGGGGGAGGCGCCGCAATATGGAGTCGTCGTTGATGTCGTTGACCTCTATACAACACAGGGGTGAAGAGTAAGAACCTGACCTGAGGTCTCCGACGTAGTGCGTGGCCCAGGAGAGGCGAAGGTGGGATCGGCCCAGCATGTGCACGAGGTTGGTGGAGCCCATGATGTTGTCGGCCGTCTCGAACGCGGAGTTCCCACGGCCCAGGATCAGCACGCTCTGGCCCTCGAAGTCACTCGGGTTCACCGACACGTTCTCGTAGCCCTCCACCAGCTCCGAGCCGATGAACCGGGGAACTCTGGGCAGCCACATGCCCGTGGCCACCAACAAAACCCTGGCAGATTAAAAAAAAAACCAGTTGACAATAAAAAAACGACAAAAACATAACATCCAACTGCCTATTGATTACCCCCAGGGCAGATACATTTCCGAGGGAAAAGTAGGTCTGCCACCTCACCTGGTGTACAGGAGGTTGTGGGTTCAATCCCAATCCTGCCAAATTCCATGCGCGGGCATGCGATTTAACAGATAGAGAAGTCGAACATTCTCTACTCCCATTAATCAACCATTAGCAGTCGCAAACACCACCGCTTGAAAGACCCCGGACCCACGAGACCCCTGGCTTCGATCTTCCACGAAGCATCCACACGCAAACCATGGCAGCAGCAGATGGAGATACTCATTGCACAAATGGAAAATTAAACGCTCTGGTAGTGTGCAACTGTGGCCACCCAGAACAGATGAGGATTTTATTCAAGCGCCACGGTGGAGAGATGTAATCGACCTCGACTGATATACAGGAGGTTGTGGGTTTGATCCCAACCTTGACGCCTGTGTATTTGGAGTTTGCGTGGATTTTTCTCTGGGGTCCTTCGGGTTTTCCCCTCCACATTTGGAATCAAAATGTGTTTAGAGTATTTGGCCATTATACATTTCCACCGGATGATAAGCCACTTCGTTGAGTTAGAATTTCTGATAGCCACGTTGCTTCTGAAAAAATAAAACTACGTAGCTCAGTGGGCCTTAACCTGGTAAAGTAACAAAATATTTTTTATAAATAGTTTTTATTTCCACCTCTTGGCAACTGTAGAGCTGCACCGTTGAACCTCGCGCCTTGAAGCCACCGACATTACAACTCGAAGGGAATTACCTTCACGGCCTATTTTAATGGTGAGCATTAAAGAACGCTAAAGCGTGATTCTCAAGAGTAGGCTATTGTGTTCATTTCATACAACAGGTTACAAATACGACAATTTGTAGTCACGACACATCACGTTTTCGGTTAAGCGTTGTGAATAAAATATGCACGCATAACCATTAGCGGACCTTTGAGATAAAAGCATCTTTTCTTTTTGTGCAAATGTAAAAATATAAATTAATAATGCGGCTCAATATTGAATTTATAATTGACGAAGGCAGCACCCCATCCCCCCCCACCACGAACATTTAAATGGCCAAAGGCGAATTGAAATCGTTTTTTAATGCCCTCATTCCCGTCTGGAAATTAGCAGCGCAGTAATAATGACACAAAGCCTGTAAAACACAATTTAAAAATGCGCCGGACGTTTGTGTAATCACCGTATTCAATCTCACTGCATCGCCTTGCTACGGACGTGACACAGCGAACCAAGGCACAGTAAATATATTACCGTGATCATTCTCTTAAAAAAAAAACAATTCCTTGCATAACTACGGGAATAATCTACAGAGGCAACACTGCCAAATTCCATGCGCGGGCATGCGACTTAAGAGAGAGAGAAGTCAGACATTCTTTACTCTCGTTAAATTGATGAATCATTAAAAGTCGCAAACGCCTCCTCGTGGAAGACCCGACATTTCAGATCCCTGGCTTCAATCTTCCACGAAGCGTATGGGCCAAAACCCTGAACCGTATCCACACGCAAACCGTGGCAGATGCAGATACTTGATGCACAAATGAAAAATTAAACACTCTGGGCGGTGTGAGTATGCGACTCTGGCCAACAAGAACAGAACCATGGGACGTATAACAACTCAATGCCCCATTCACAAACACGAAGGTGGCACTGGCTAGGCGATTCGCCGCTCGGCTACTCCTGACGCAATCATCTGGCTCAACCACCTCAACGTAAAATTATAGTTGCTGCTCCACATCAACACCAGCCACACACACATCTACTGCTGGATGAAGGCCTCCTCCGCCTTGGGGTTCTTTGATCATATTTCGCCACGCACAAAGCAGGTACTAGAGGCTGCTGCGGAGCTACACTGTGGCTGGTAGAGGGCAGTTCAACAAAACCCACCGTCGTACGGCCCTCTGCTGCCACGTCCAGGGTGCCATGGTGGTGAGATGTTAACCACCTCGCCTGGTATACAGGAGATCGTGGGTTCAATCCCGACCCGGACGCCTGTGCATTTGGAGTTTGCGTGTTCTCTCTCCCCCGCCCGTGATCGTGTTGATTTTTCTCTGGGTCCTCCGGTTTTTTCCACTCCACATTGAGAATCGACGTGCGTTCAGGAGTATTCGGCTGCAATAAATTTCCACGCGGGAAGCCGGTTCGTTGAGCTATCATTTGTGGACAGGTAGCTCCTGAAACGGAGCTACGTAGCTCCAGTGGGCCTTACCTGGTAAAATAAAAATAGTTTAAATAGTTTCGTTTATGCTCCCCGCTTTCACCAACCCACGCCCATCGGCATGACACTGTACATTCAGAGAACCACCCCCCCCCCTCTCCACGACACGCACGGCGTAGCTAGGGCCATCGCCCGGCAGCGGCCGAACGACGCGATAGGGCCGCCCATGGCACAATGCCCGTGTCTCGCAAAAGCTTCGGATGTACGGGGGGGGGGTGGGAGGAGGGGGGTGGGGTGCGCTCCACTTACTGGCACCGCCACTCGTTGCCACTCTGGTCCCCGAGGACAAAGCGGTGTCCGTTCCATGCGCTGCTGTCTGCCGTGGCCCTAATCTCGGTCACGTTCGTGTTGTAGCGCACATTCAGGCGGAACCGCTTGGCGTAATCGCTCAGGTATCGCACCATGTCGTCGGCGTGCGGGAAAAAGTCTCGGGAATAGTGCCGGAAGAGCATCGTCTCGTCGTGGCTCAGCAGGGAGTTCCAGTCGTGGCGAAGGTTGAACTCTTTGTTGCGCTTGCCCGTGTGCCGCTTGTTGATGCTGATGAGCTTGCGGTGCCGCGGGTACACGGCGAAGAAGTGGCCCGGGGCACCGCTTCTCTCCAGGATGACGTAATCTCGCCGGGACTGCTCGAGGTAGTAGCCCATCTGCAGGCCGGATGGCCCGGCGCCCACGACGCAGAAGTCCTTGGCGATGGAGGACGACGCGGCCCCATTCGCATGGACGAGAAGCGCCAGGAGGCAGCATAGCGTCGGCTGGAAGGGAGCGAGTTTCATCGGCATGCTGTCTCTGCACGGCCGTACCACAACCCCCCCCCCCCCCACGTCCCAACGTTCCCTGCCACCTGCGGCAGCTCAGGATCGTCAGCTTCTTTTCAGCCGTGTTGGCGGTGTCATTTTCTAAACGGAGGCAGAAAAACGATATCAGAATCTTTGTTTGCACTGGAGGAATCCGAAGAGCTATAAAGCTCTTTTTCACAGATGTCCATTAGGGGCCGGTCAGAAAGTTACAACAACAAACAATACAACAAACACGACAGAAGTGCAAAGTAGAGGAAAGTGTAGCATATCACCAAAGAAAATTAACTTTTAAATGTATTTATTTTACCAGGTAAAGCCCACTGAGCTACTAGCTTCTTTGTCAAAGTGACCTGGTCACAAATGATAGCTCAACAAAGCGGTTTTGATCATTTTTTGAAATTTATAGCAACCAAATAATCTAAATAAATAATCTACATCAACTCGAAAAGAAACACTCATATCACGGTTGGGAGTTGACTCAGCCCATCATTCCTACCAGAGTCGATAAAACGAGCACCACTTTGTGTGAAAGTCAACAGTGATTGTTCTCTGGAGAGATCTTGCCCCCCACTCACAGGATATGTGGAATTTCCACCACTGGCGTCAATTCCTCATTTGAGCAACAAGCCACTTTGACTTAGAAAACAACCTTGGGGAGCAGGTGGGGTGAGTGCGGAGTGGTTGGCACACGACCGCGCGGTGAACCCAACCACAATCTCGAGTCAGATTCCCGGCGACGGTGACAATCAGCGGCGAGAGATATCTAACCGGGTCCTGGACCTGCTCCCCTACCTTCACCAAACCCACGCTGACCAGTGTGGTGGCGACGGTACAGGTCAGAAAAACTTACGACACAGCGTCGGGAGGCCGTCATCCAGCAGTGGATCGACCAAGGGCTGTGAATGAACGCGATCGATGAATGGGCAAATGTTTCCATCAGAACATCAGCAGGAGAAAAGAGGCGAGGCTTTTTTCGTCAGCATCTGATTTCAGTGACGAAGCAGTTGAAAGCATTTTTCCCCCCGACTACTCAGCTAAAACATGACGTTATACTTTACATACATAAAAAAACACGAACATATAACCTCCGTTGCATTCATCTTCATTGAATAAACAATGTAGTGAACCAAGTACGCGGGAGATCACGGCAGACGGTAGCAACGTGGGGAGGCCTTCATCCAGCAGTGGATTGACCATCGCTGATAACGAGGGTGACGATAATGCGTTCATGAAATGTTTTCTTCTTCTTCCTCTTCACGGATCAAGAGTGGCATTTCAACACGGAAGCACAACTTCTCTCCGCATGTGCATGACCAGACATACCGATGCACGGACAAAGATCTCCCAGTATAGCCTTACGGTATTTTTCGGGGCAAGTGCTGTTAGTGAGCAGCGCCTACGAAGGCCAACACAGGCCACGAAGGGAGTGGCGATGTCTACACACCGCGCCAGGTACTCATTTTTTGAGGCTGAGTCGACCTAGGGGAGGCCCCAGGACCGGTTCGGACAATCGTCACCAATGTTGGCCGCGGGCGTGAATTGAACCCATGCACACACGCAGGCGCATACCCCGTGCTGTAGAGGAAGTAACCGGGAGGAGGGGGGGGGAGAGTCAAGGTTAAAGAAAATGCACAATAAATCGTGAAGGCAAATTAGGGGGCTAAACGCCTCCAGCCCCGCTCCCCTCACCCACCACTATCCTAAGCTTGAGAGAGAGCGAGCTCTCGTTTGATGCTGTCACCAATCCCTCATAGGGGCCCTGCACACACACACACACATACCTCGTGTGCCACGGGTTGCCAGAGTCAACAGGGGCACATATCGAGTTACAGAGAAACCGGGCCCCACAAGGTGACCCCATGGGATTTAAAACAAACGTCCCGGGCAGTAAGTGCATCCCGGCTTCCCTGCACGGACGGACGGGACAGGCACTACCCCTCGACGCTGTCAGCCGTCCGTCTTCCGTTTCGAATAAGAACACGATCATAACAAATGTTGTTGTCGTCGTCGTGAGCCTGTAACAACCTCCCACTGCTGGACAGAGGCCTCACTCGCCGTCTCCTTCCTTCCTGCCTTGCGTCCATCTAATTGCCTTTTAAATATCCCGAGAAGAAATAATGGGAACAGGGGCCGTTCATAAATGACGTCACGCACCTAGGAGGGGGGGGGGAGGGGTCAGACATTTATGACGAGGGGGGGGGGTTTGAGAAATGTGACGTCACATCAAAATGCGCAACTTTAAATATAGGTAACACGTTCTACTTAATTAAATATAATGTTTAATAAATGTTTTCTCCTACAACATCAGAGTGCAGCGCCACATTAAATACGCACTATAATGACAATAGTTTAAAGCGATTTGAAGCATGGTTTTTTTTTTGGGGGGGGGCAGAGCTTTGTGACGTCATATTTGAGGGGGGGGGTCTGACTTTTTGTGACGCCGTGTGACGAAGTGGGGGGGGCGGGGGTCAAAAATAATCCAAAATCGCGTGACGTCATTTATGGACGGCCCCATAGGTGACAAAGGCTTTGCCGTTGCAGCGCCAACGTTTCGGAAAGAACCTTGTTTCCGTCTCTTAACATCGTAAATCTTCCTTAAAAGAATATCCTGAAGCAGAAGAGTGGTGCCGGATACGAGGCACGTGTCACTTTGATCCTTACCTGTGTATATCGATAGTTCAATGTTGACGTGGGGACACACCGTGCGGTGTTTTCTTGGCGAGGTCTGGGACTGTTTAATCCTTCTTGTTGCCTTGCCCGTGCGCGATAAATCGGACTCACAATGGGGGGGGGGGGGGGGGGGGGGTGGTGCGACGGTGGCTAGGAGATGTTAACTACCTCGCCTGATATGCAGGAGGTCGTGGGTTCGATCCCGAGCCTGACGCCTGCTGCGTGTTTGGAGTTTGCGCGTTTATCTCCACGCGGTAAGCGTGGGATTGAATTCGTCTCGTCGTTACCGCCGCCGCCGTCGCCGCCGTCGCCGCCTTCGCCCGATGTTGCGCTGCTAGAAGTAGCTGGCTGTCTCAGTCAGCGCCGTCAGTTTAAAGACGGCTCGTGTTAGTGCACAGGCCAGGCTACGCGACTGTAGGGAAGCGCGTAGGACGAGACCGTGAATGTTTTGAATAAAAGAAGCTGCTTCCTACAAAGGTCGCCTCCGAGGCACTGACACCACACGAGTACAGCACCAACCGGTTGTGTGTTGGAGAACAAAACGCCACAACATGTACAATCCGAGCACGACGTTTCGCCAGCAATTACAACCTGCTTGATTCGGCGACAGCCAGATCCGCGGAGAAATCCTCCGGTTTGTAGTAACGCATTGGCGTGTTCGGTTTACGTGACAAACCTTACTAATTGGCTGCGTCGGGTGGTGGCGGGTCGAATGACACATTTATATATTTACGCCATTTAACCCCAAAAAGCAACGCTCTATTATGGATGCGTATGTACAGCTTAGCCCGATAGCTGCAGCTGCGTATAAAGTGAACGCAGCATCTCTTTTGTAACCCTCTCGACTTTTTTTTCCAAAATTTTCTTAAAATTTAGAAATAAAAAAATCACCTTTCGCTTTGTTTGAAAAGAGAAAATGTGATGCACGTGCGGAAACGTACTTTAGGATTTGAAATGCAAGTGTTTATTTTTACTTAATGAATGTTCGCAAAAGTTACGTTAAGTTGCAATACATGTTTGTTAGGTTTATTTTCATTTATTTTCGTGGTCAATTTGGGTATTTTTTATGGTATGCAATGGGTTTCCAGGAACGTAACCCCAACGTATAACATTGCGCCCTATGGGAAACGAGGGTTCGACTTACGACATCCTCGACTTGCGACCGTTGTACAGGAACCAATTAGGTTCGTAGGTGCGGGGGTCCCCTGTGCCTGGTAAAAATAAAGTTTACAAGTTTAATTATTATTACATTTTTTGTGTGACTTGTTTACCCCTTTCTCTATTTTGCACTCCTATCGTCTTTTGTCGTTGTACTGTTTGCCACTGTGACTCGCTCACCGCGACTTTAGAGCTCATTGGATTCCTCCTCCTGCAGTCTAAATTCTGATTCCGATTCCGTTCCCGAGTTGCCTCCCTGTCCAGCCGTGCCCCCCCTCCCCGCTCGCCCCCCTTTCCAACTCTGTGACATCGTCTCCGCCGCTGCCACCTTTCCTCCGCTCTACCCTTTGCCTCTCCTCGGCGTCTACCACCCCGTCTACGGTGATCGATTCTGTCTCCTCTCCTCCATCCTCGGCTGCTTTCGCTCACCCGGCCTGCACATTTGCACTCGATTCGTCTCGCTTTAAACGGCAGCAGACGGCGGGTCAGCAGTGGTCAGCAGCGGTCAGCATCGGGGTACCCGCGGTCTTCTCCGTATTTATTTATTTATTCCTCTCGTCTCAGATGTCGACTTCTTCAAAACACCAAGCAGACGCACACGCCACTGATCGACAAACCCGCACGGGCCACATCGTGAACCAAAGCGCGCCTCTGCAATACCCACAATCAACACACGCACACCGCAGACCTGCACTAAACCTATTACTACTGTAAGTCAACTTCTCAGTTCAACATCCACAAAATATGTATTGATCGCCCAATGCCAGATGATGGCAATGTACGTACAATCCCGTATATATATCGAACAATGATTGCCGCGTGATACCTGCGAGGTGGCTAGCAGATGTCAGTGTAGCGATGGATTATTGAATCCATCTGTGAGGTGCTTTGAGCGTTATTTCCCCCCCTCCTCCTCCACGCCAATCCGGGTCCCACCGGATGTGTTCTCTCTTGCCAAACTCTCATGAACGAAACTGACCAAACGGACCAATGCAGCATCCTCCTGACAAGTGTGGCATCCCATTACAGACTCAGGTTGAGGCTTTCCGTGATAAATAAAAGGGAATCATCATCATCATTATTATTATTTGCTGTCAAACACGGCGTGTCCATCGGTCGACACAATCGAATCACCACAAAGACAACCCTCGACTAAATCAGAGGGGAGCAAACCCGGCGAGAGAGACGAAAACGCGAAACGCCGATCCGTCATCGGTGCCGGCAAGGCCACCGTGAGGCTTCCTCTCGCACCAAGTGGAGAATAATCATCACAGAAGCTGGAGGCGAGAGAAGCAAATACATACATCTCTCTCTCTCTCTCACAAAAAGACAAAGATCCCCCCCCCCCCCCCGTGTAGCCTGTAACAGATTGTTGGGGGCAAGCGCTGTTAGCGAGCACCTATTAATGCCAGAACGGCACACGAGGGGGTGAGTGGCCAGCACCACGGCCGGCCGCCTTTGTCTCCCCAGTGGCGATGTTTACGCGCCGCACCAGGTACTCATTGGAGGCCGAGTCGACCTAGGGGAGGCCTAGGACCGGTTCAGATAATCGTCACTGATTTTGGCTGTGGAGCGGGAATCGAACTCGGGTCGCCGGGTTCGTAGCGCAGCGTAGCGCTAACCGCTACACTAGCGCTCCCCACACAGACACAGCCAGACACAGCCAGACACAGACACGTGTGCTCCGATGTACACAGACACGTGTACTCTGATGTACACAGACACACACACACGCAGCAGTAACCACGCTTGCGCTCAGAACCCGGCGAGCTGACTTTCGATTCGCAGCCACGGCTAACATCAGTGGCGAACGAAATCTGAACACGATGCTGGACACCACCCCCCCCCCCCCCCCCCCACCTTCACCAAACCTGCGCTGACCAGCGTGGTGAAGTATGGTCAATCACCCCCCACCCATGACCGACACACAGCGTGTGTGTGTGTGGGGGGGGGGGTAGATTTTCCTTCATCCAGCAGTAGATTTTCGAAAAGGCTCTGTCTAACAACGGCACACACCGACAGACACGAACGCGTGAACGCGCGCGCACACACACGTGCACTGGTGCACACGCACGCACACACGTGCACACACACGTGCACTGGTGCACACACAACAAGCGGCGCGTTGGTTCGCGCAGGACGCTGCTGCTGCTGCTGCTACGTGCGCGCTTGACTGTGGCTCCGAAACGAACCTCACAATCACGAGACGCCGTTGTATCGAAGTGGTCCCGCTCCTGCCCGCCGCCACTGCTGCTGGTGCTGCTGCTGGTGGTGCTGCTGGTGGTGCTGCTGCTGCTGGTGGTTCTCCGTGGTAAGTGACGTGGGGTTGAGAGCGAACGAGATCGATCCGAGCGCGCGCGTACAGCGCGCACGGCGTCGTGACATCGACCGCGCTTGTTAAAGGGACCGCGCGCCGCTTCCGTGAGCAGCTCCACAGTGACGTAGGGAGCTCCACAGTGACGTCAGCACCAGGACGGACCCTCCCCCCCCCTTCCCCCGAAAGGGCCCTCGTGAAATTTGAATGGAATTTGTCTCGCGACTAAAAATAAATAAATCCACCCAACGTTGCAGGAATCTCCTGAGAGTTAATTAATTAATGAGAAAAAAAATCAACTTTGATTCGTATTTATGCACATAACACCTTAACACCCCCTCCCCCCCACCGTCGCCGCCGCACCTTCGTTTTAAAAATAAATTGTTTCAGTTGATATGTAATAATATATGTATACATATAGCGTCGTTCATGCGAAACTGCATCTCACAGCGATGCGCATCAAGAAAATAAAAACAATATATATAACAATAAACAATATATATTGCCCTTCGCAATTTAAGGCCACAGTCAACAAACCGGTTTTGAAATGTATAAATGTACGTCGAACTTGGTTCGCGCCGTACGTAGCCAAGCAATGGGACTTAAGTAGTAGAATCAACGTGGGTCTGGTGCCCACAATTATTTGCCGGGCACGTGGAACAAAGACGGCTGCCACCGGCATCGCGCGGCGCCTTCAGACGCGCTTCTGCGGCCGTCTGGAACGCTCTTCTCCTTCCCGATGTTCGGAAGCCACTTGGAGCTACACATTTTACAATCATCATCATCATTATCTAGATTGAAAGCTCATTTCTTTCGAGCTACCCAAAGTATCCTCCCCATAGACTACCCAAAGTACTATGCAAACCTACCCGGTTATTACCAAATATTTGTCCATGAAGCCATCCAGATATACAAACATAGACACAACTTCAATCGAGAGGACGGTTTCAAATTGAGCAACTTTTGGAAAGATGTCATCAACCAAGTCAAACGTTAGCTGGCTGATAATTGTACAGCCGTTTCCGTTTCTACCAGGATGGTGCTTGTTCTCGTGCAGCGCACCATCGCTCCCCCTGAACTCCCTGCAGCATAACAAAAGGGGTTGTACCCGCTTTCTTGCAGTGCACCACCGCTCCCCCTGAACCCCCTGCAGCATAACAAAAGGCGGCTTAACTTAGACCCTCCCCCCCAACCACGTCCCTTCCTGGCTCCTCCCCCTCCACCCCTTAACCTGTATATAAGCTCGCGTGTCCCAGAGCTGTTCACTTGATACAGCGAACTTTGCTGCGTCTGTTCCACCTGAAGACGGAAGCTTGTGTTGCCTCCGAAACGTCGTGATTTAATTGAGTTGTTTTATTTTATTTTTTATTTTACCTACGTGACTTTACCGAAGAAACCAAAGAGTCTGCCTTTATTGTGTTTCGTTTGTTGTCCTTCCCCACACAGCGCACCTCCGACGACCACGGATGGCTACGTGCGCTGTAAAAGAAGTTCGACATATAGCGTATACATTCGTACAATTATAAAGATTCGAATCTTTAGACTGCAGGAATCCGATGAGCTACGATGCTGTTGTTACACAGGAGAGAACTCTTAACCTGAGACATCAAGGCGACCCTGCAAAATGTGTTTGAACAGGACACGCACACACGCGCTGACCGCATGGCTGATGAGACTGAAAATTGACACCGCAGTTTTGGGAAAGTTGAAACCGCAGTTTTGGGAATGGAATGGTCCCAGAAGGCTGATAGAGGCCGATGATTGTACAACACAGACACTCTTTTGTCTCTTTCACTCTTACCTTTTGGCTTCGTTCAACTTGATTCCGTTCACTTTTGTTCAAACCTTTCAGTTTAATTTACTTGCATTGAATTGCACTGCCTTAACCCGGAATGAGGATATGTATTTATGCTGGAGGAATCCGATGAGCTATAAAGCTCTTTTTTTTACATATGTGTGTCTTACAGAGAGTCACGCACAGTGTAGAGTTTGAGACAGTGTATACCATTGACGGCTCCGCCTCTTAACTGAGCGAAATAAACGAGTGGCTATACAAATTTTGATTTAAAGCTTTCGTGACTGCAGGGATTCATATTCTTGGTTCTTTCGGTAAAGTCACGTAGAAGAAAAACAATAAAATAATTGCTTTATATTTTTTATTAGTTTGTTTCCCTTCTACGTGACTTTACCGAAAGAACCAAGAATATGAGTGGCTATACAATTAAAAGTTCACCATTAAACGCTTCGGGGTCTCGGCAAACATTATGAACTCTCACTGGGGTTTTTTTGTTTTTATGTCGTCTCTGTTTTCAATTCGGGCACAAAACCTTTATGTACAGCTACACAGCGTAGATTGGTGGGGGAGCTCACACGGTTCAGATTATAGTTTGTGCGAATCATTCCCAAAGCGATTGCAAGACTGGTTTCGCATTTCAAATCCAACGCCCTCTGCAAATAGAGAGGGGAACCCCGTTGGGAAAATGTATGCAGGCTGGAAACAAATAGATGTAATAGCACGCAAAGGGTTGCGCTGCTGCTCATTAACAAAGCAGGAAAGCCACGACTTCCCCCGAGATGTTCATTAAATCGTCCGGTATACAGGAGGACGTGGGTTCGATCCCGACCCGGAGTCAGGGGCGGAGCCAGGATTTTGACTTTGGGGGGTGCTGACTTCAATATTCTGAGATATCCAGTGTTTATGTTTGCCAATGGGCGCCACAAATGTATAAAACTGATTTTATTGGATTTGAACGCGGAGTTTATTAATAGGTCGGAGCCGCTGATGTGGCTAATAATAAGTTCGATAAGTTCGAAAGGCTGCCGCTCAAGCAGCCTGCAGGGCAGCACAAGGTGGCAGCCTGCAAGGCAGCACAAGGTGGCAGTCTGCAGGGCAGCACAAGGTGGCAGCCTGCAAGGCAGCACAAGGTGGCAGCACACAAGGTGGCAGCCTGTAGGGCAGCACACAAGGTGGCAGCCTGCAGGGCAGCACACAAGGTGGCAGCCTGCAGGGCAGCACACAAGGTGGCAGCCTGCAGGGCAGCACACAAGGTGGCAGCCTGCAGGGCAGCACACAAGGTGGCAGCCTGCAGGGCAGCACACAAGGTGGCAGCCTGCAGGGCAGCACAAGGTGGCAGCCTGCAGGGTAGCACAAGGTGGCAGCCTGCAGGGCAGCACAAGGTGGCAGCCTGCAGGGCAGCACGAGGTGGCAGCCTGCAGGGCAGCACGAGGTGGCAGCCTGCAGGGCAGCACACAAGGTGGCAGCCTGCAAGGCAGCGCACAAGGTGGCAGCCTGCAGGGCAGCGCACAAGGTGGCAGCCTGCAAGGCAGCACACAAGGTGGCAGCCTGCAGGGCAGCACACAAGGTGGCAGCCTGCAGGGCAGCACACAAGGTGGCAGCCTGCAGGGCAGCACAAGGTGGCAGCCTGCAGGGTAGCACAAGGTGGCAGCCTGCAGGGCAGCACAAGGTGGCAGCCTGCAGGGCAGCACAAGGTGGCAGCCTGCAGGGTAGCACACAAGGTGGCAGCCTGCAAGGCAGCGCACAAGGTGGCAGCCTGCAAGGCAGCACAAGGTGGCAGCCTGCAGGGCAGCACACAAGGTGACAGCCTGCAGGGCAGCACGAGGTGGCAGCCTGCAGGGCAGCACACAAGGTGGCAGCCTGCAAGGCAGCGCACAAGGTGGCAGCCTGCAAGGCAGCACAAGGTGGCAGCCTGCAGGGCAGCACACAAGGTGGCAGCCTGCAGGGCAGCACAAGGTGGCAGCCTGCAGGGCAGCACACAAGGTGACAGCCTGCAGCATTTTACAGCAGCCGTATATCCGGTTATCCCGATTACCGACTTTCCCAAAATTTCAGGGGGGGCTAAGCCTCCCCCCCCAGCCCCCCCCCCCCTCTGTGGCTCTGCCCCTGACCCTGTCGCCTGCTGTATATTTGGAGTTTGGATGTCTCTCTCCCCGTGGTCGGGTGGATTTTTCTCCGGGCCCTCGGGTTTTTTCCTCCCTCCGTGTATAGAAACGTGCGTTTAGAGTGTTTGACTGCTATAATTTTCCACGTGATAAGCCACTGCGCTGAGCTATACATGTGTAAAACATGTATGCCTTGCGTGCGTGTCGCGTGATCACCGCACTGCGTGTACATTATAGAGTTCTCAGCCTTGTCGAGACCACCAGCTCAGGAGATTCAACTGCACGCGAGAGTGCGCTGCTCACAAACAGCAGGGGACGCACGATTGCCATCGTGAAAAAGAGCTTTATAGCTCATCGAATTCCTCCAGTATAAATAAATGTTCCGATTCTGCATGTCATGCGACCTCCACACTGCATTGTTGGTGGTTTAAACAATTACAAAGCAATAATATGGCCAATCATTCAGCTCGTTTGAGCTGTTGGTCTAGATAAGGCTCGCATCATTGTATATATAGCGTATGTGTTTGGTGTTTGTCACTGCCAATGTAGTCAAAAGGTGGTCACATCATGCTGGACAAAGTGCCTAGCGATCCATTATGAAACTTATAACGCGCACAAATTGAACTTTAAAGGGATATGAAGAGGCGGCGGAAAGAGGGAAAGAGAGCGAAGTCGTGTGCTTCCGATTACAAGGCTGACACCGATGCCGGGATGAGGGAACACACGGCACCGATGAAGTCGTTTGAAACGGCCCGCGGCCACAGCACCACGGTGACCATGGACTTTCACGTAGAGTCCCGTAAACTCACACAGAGTGCAGTGGTTTCATCTGCGACGCGGACTGAGAGACTCATGAGACTTACACAGGCACCATTAGATTCACATAAAGTTCCCAGTGGATCGCGACTGTCGTCTAACACACAGACTCACAGACTCAGACAGACATGAATAGACTCGTATAGATACCTACAGATGTTATTGACAGTCCACGGCGGTTCACTGCCACATGGTCGACGGTCTGGATAGTGTTTCTTCAATCTACTTGCAAGGGCTTGGTA